GAATGAATGTTGGAAATTGAGGCTGATTTGGAAGTTAAAATTTGTTTAAAAATTCATGTCTTGAAAATTGCTGATTTTTTTGAGGTTTTGAAATAAATTTGTGGATTTGGAGCTAGCTTGATTTTATGTTGGAGTTTTTGAATGATTATTCAGTAATATAGGCTTTGCAGGGCATTTAAAGAAGCTGTATATGGCCTTCCTGATTATAACTGTTGATTCCTAGGCTGTAGAAAGTATAGTTGGCTCTGGGGGCTCTGTGTGGACCCCATTTGTTGAATCTCTGGTTGATAGTGACAATGTTAAGATTGGTAATGTATTTCAGTAATTATTATTAAGTCAGTCGTTGTTAGCGGCAGTTTGTAAACGTCTGATGCTCATTATTATTATTATTTATTTGTCGACGTTACCGTCCGGAAGAATTAGTATTTATACATGTTTTTACTTTTTACATTGATTAGTGATACATTCCATATCACTATAGGTGACGTAGAATCAAGCTTCTAATCTTCAAATCTAGGTTTCGATTAAATTCAGGCTCTCGTTTCAATCTTCTGTGGGCGTGACGTGATACATTTCAGGTCCGTTTTGACAATATTCCTTATAAGGTAATCTTGTAGCTCTCGTTCCTATTTCTCCCATCACACTTCAAGTTCCTGACCCGTTCCTTAATCCAACGTTGCCTAAAATGCCCAATTATGGCTTGATCTCCTTCATTAAGCAGTCGAAGTATCTAAACTTCTGAAAAAGAACAAATTTGAAAATGGCTGGATTTGAACCGACGACCGTCGAGTTACCATACCAAATTTGAGCCAAGCGCAATTATCTGAAGCTTTACATCTTCTTGTCTTGACATCTAGTAATATAAACCTCAAATTCACAATAAGTGAACATCCTCACACCAGAATCTTAATTCAATCCCCCCAAAAACTCACTTCAACTTTCATCGACTCCAAAAATCACTCAATACACAAAATAAAAAAAAATCCCAGACAAATCAAATTTTTATGTCCATAGCATCAAACATATCGCATTGAATTATTTATCATCAATTTTAATTTTTTTTTCTCTGTAGGAATTAATTTAACCCCTCCACATGTGCAACCCCACCATCGCCTTTTCTCCACCGACCATCGTCCATAACAAGAATTATTTTTTCAATTTATTTATTCCTGTCAAATGCTCACAATAAACCATATGTGAAATGGAAATTTTTGTTAGCATTTTTTTTTTTTGGAGAACAAAGGAGGGCCAGGCAGAGGAAAGGTTCAGGAAATTCAAATGAAAATCGCGCGCGCATTTTTTTCACTGATTACACATTAATTAATAAAAACAATGCACGATGGACGTAACTTCAGACGTACAAAAAAAATGAAAATTCTCAATTTTTTTTGGTGGGTTGCATAGGGTGGGCTGTATGGACAAGAGGGGAGTCAGTTTCGAGGCATATGTGTTGTTATAACGAAAATTTGTATTTTTTTCATCTCAAAATTTTTTTTTTCTGTTCATTTCTCGTCCGCCGTTTTCTGATCAAATTTAATTTTATTCTCACACCACCCGAAAACATGAATTTCGCATTTTTTCCATTATAGAAAAAAAAATCGAGCAATATAAAAAAAACCGAGGGATAAAAGATGTGAACGGCGAAATGTTCATTGTGTATATTTCACAAAAAAAAAATAAATATACGGCAGAAATGACTGAAAAGTCCACACAACAATAATAAAACATTTTTTTTCGCCGATTTTCATCTCTTTGCAGTTTTTTTTTGTGTATTGCAGGAAAAATTCTGTATACCGCACGTTCACTGGACACATGAGCGCTTTGCATGAACAGAAAAAAAAAATCATCAAGGAGGTTTGAGGTAACGAAAAAAAAAGGCAGCAGAATGTGAATAAGTTGATGTACATTGCATCTACTATCGAAATCTGTGACTTCATACTCATACCGTGCCTCATTGCTCCTGCTTATTCTTTTTTTTTTTCGGACGTTACTATCGCTGCTCGGCGTTAATTTAACCCCGTTTGGTATTTTTTCTCGTATTTTAAATTTTTTTTATTCTCTGTCCATTGAGGATTGTGCCCGTGGGATACAAGTGAATTTGAGGATTTGCGACTTTAGGTAAGATTTAGATGTACTTTTAGCTGAATATTACCGCTTAGCATGCTTTTGTCACTAAGCTTGAGATTGCAACCCAGTTTAAGATTGATGCTCAGCTTGAAATTGATGCTCAGCTTGAGACTGTTGTTCAGCTTGAGATTGTCGCTCAGCTAGGGATTGACGCTCTGCTTGAGATGTCGTTCAGCTTGAAAAAATCGCCCAGCTTAAGATTTTCACCCAGCTTAAGATTAATGCTCAGCTTGAGATTGGCGCTTAGCTTGAGATTGCAACCCAGTTTAAGATTAATGCTCAGCTTGAGATTGACGCTTAGCTTGAGATTGCAACCCAGTTTAAGATTGATGTTCAGCTTGAGACTGTCGTTCAGCTTGAGATTGTCGCTCAGCTAGTGATAAACGTTTAGCTTGAAATTGACGCTCAGCTAGGGATTGACGCTCTGCTTGAGATTTTTGCTCAGCTTGAAAAACACGCCCAGCTTAAGATTTTCACCCAGCTTAAGATTAAAGCTCAGCTTGAAATTGGCGCTTAGCTTGAGATTGCAACCCAGTTTAAGATTAATGCTTAGCTTGAGATTGACGCTTAGCTTGAGATTGCAACCCAGTTTAAGATTGATGCTCAGCTTGAAATTGATGCTCAGCTTGAGACTGTCGTTCAGCTTGAGATTGTCGCTCAGCTAGGGATAAACGTTTAGCTTGAGATTGACGCTCAGCTAGGGATAAACGTTCAGCTTGAGATTGACGCTCAGCTTGAGATTGACGATCAGCTAGGGATTGACGCTTAGATAGAGACTGATGCTCAGCCTTAAAAATCATTTAAATACCAGTAAAAAGTCAAAAAGAAAGCTAATTCAAAAAGTCACATCTCGGGCCACATAAACCGAGAAAAATTATTGAGATGGAGAACTGAGTAGAGTAAAAGAGGAAAAATGTAAATCGCATAGAGAGATGACGATGATGAGGACACAAAAAAAAGTATATAACAATACAGAATATATGTGGACAGAGGTATTGTTATTTTTTTCGCGACTCATTTTTTTATTCATCCTCATTTCGATTTTGACCAGAGGAGTACGTAAAAAAAGCTAAAATAAAAAGAGTGAAAAAATAAATTTTGGGTAGGGTGGAAATAAAAACTTTGTGCATTTGTGAAAAGGCATGGAATAATTTTTTTTGTGTGTGATTTTTATATAGAAACAAGTTGGAGGGCTGTTTTGGGCTTGATGTATGGAGAGCACTTAGTAATTCTTAATAATTCACATGTAGCCTAGAAAGAGTTCTGGTTCAAAACTGTGTGCTGCACATGACTTTTGAGTCACTTTTGGAGAATTTGAACAAAACCGTGACTTTGGTGTCACTTCATCATAAAAAGTTCTGGGTTAAAAACCGTCAAGACTCATTTATGTCAACAGACAATCTGTCCATCTATTCGCGTTCCCCAAAAGTCCTCATCACAAAAATAAAAAAAATGCAAATTTTGTTTTAAATTAAATCGCGATGTATAAAGTCCAGCAAGCATTCTAGCATTGTCCAGCATTAAAATGAAAAATTTTTTTTCCTCCTCATCTCCTTTTTCATTTTTTTTTTGTGTTTCACTGCCATTTGAGCCGTAGCCGGGAGATGAGGGAAGAAATAAAAATTTATGGACACAAGATCGATGGCATGAGGTTGACTACATTCAGTCAGAATATTATTGTGTGTATGGCGCTGGCTGACTGTGTGCATGTGTACATTTCATATCAGGAACGAGTGTTGAGAAAAGGTAAACAAAACGAGGATTTTTTTTTTGCGCTACGGTCGATCACATTTTCGCTTTTGGTGCCTCATACTTCTTGATACTTTTTTATTCTAGTGATGCTGTTGGTCGATGGATATGTGGATATGAAGATGCGAATGACATTCATTATTTTTTTGTGTTTTTTTTTATGCTGATGGCTTGTGCTTGTTGTGTTTTGGATGTGAAAGAAGCTAGAGAATTTTTTAAGGCATAGCAATGGACATGATTATGAGCATTTTTGTCATTAGAAGTGGACGTGAGTGGAGTATTGGAAGTGAAATTGAAATTTTTGATTGTTAATTGAATCATAGAAAATTTTGTAGTTTTTATGAGAGATTAGAATTTCTATTAAGGAACTAAAGCTATGGTGATCTTAATTGGAAAATCATAAAAACATTCGATGCTTTACAGGGGTGATAAACCTTTTTTGTGTCACGGCACACTTGGTGGTAAATTATGATCAAAATGCACAACAGCATGCAGCTCAAACACTAGTGTGCCGCGGCACAGAGGTTGGCCATCACTGCACAACATTCAAAAATCAATATCAACTGACACTGTCAAAATAGTCAAAAGCGGAAGGCTAGCTTTTGTTTATTCAACATAAATTCTAGAATATTCAATAGTCGTGCGCAACATACCACTATTGTCATTTACATCCTTAATGACAAATAATTCATATTCTTTAGATATAAATGATTTAAATTGGTGTCGTCCAAACTGTTTGCCGTAGATTTTTTCTGAATCTGACACGAGCCGCATGCTGTGTGCATTCGGTCATGGCCTACCCTTCAGGTATGCCGTTGCTCAAAAACTTTGGACAACACTGACCTAAATTGACACAAAAATCGTCTCCAAAGCACTCCTTTTGTCCCATATCATCTGTTGATACAAAAGTCGTGTACAACACACCACTTTGGTATCAAAATTCATTCTTGATGATTAAGTCGTGTACAACACACCACTTTGGTATCATAATTCATTATTGATGTTAAAGTCGTGTGTTGTACACGATTTTAGTCACTTTTTATCAGTTGACAAACTAGATCTTCCCCAACATAACCTCAAAAAATCGTAAAAATGTCAGCAAAAAAAATCAATCAGCTACTCACATTCAAATTATCCTTCTGCTGTCCCGTACTCATGTTAAATCTCAATGCCTTCAAATTCAATGGATATTGTTCATGATTAAATTCATCATCAAAACTATTGACTACTTTCGGTTCATTATTAGGTTCACTCTTAATTTGTGTCTTTATCACATCACTTTCCGAACTTAAATCATCAGCAATGTGCCGAAAATTATTGCATAATTTCTCACAAGGCATGATGGTTTCTAACATTGCCTTCGGCGATGGCAATGAGCTCTCATCACATTCAACAATTTTACCAATTTCACTTTCACTTTGCAGCCGCTCAATGAGACAATTGATATTGTTATTTATCGTATCGATTATTGATTTACCGTCCGTATTGTTATTATTATTATTATTAATATTTGTTTCTGTGTCCTTTACATCCACACTCTCCATAGTCAATCAAATAAGAAACATTTAAGCTTTTTTTGTGGGTCCGATTCCGATCTCCTTTTCTAGTCGGTCGGACGAACGTGAAATAACGAATCACAAAACCATGATTTTTTTTTTTTTAATAAATTTATTTATGATGTTGGTGCTTCTGGCCGTTGCTGCTGCTGGTCAACTATAATTATTTTGTTCTGTAAAGAGACAGAGAATGGAAAAAAAAATGAGACATGAGTGACTGAATGGATATTCATATTGGGGGGATTTAAGAATGAGGAATGGAAATGGAAGTGAAGCTTTAGGGATTCTAGTAAGCTGGCAATGTGGATAGTGAATCTATACTGGGACCAAAATGTTTTAATGCTATCAAAATCACACATAACACACTTCTCTAGCGATATGAATGCTCTGAGGACACCAAAATGGCACACAACACACCACTTTGGTCTCATAATCGCATAAAGATTATGACACATACTCAAGTGCCACCAAAATGGTATATAACACATGACTTTGGTTACAAAAATGCACGAATCACATGATCCATATTCAATTGGCTCCAAAGTGGCACACAACACACCACTTTGGTCTCATAATCGCATAAAGATCGTGACACACACTCAAGTGCCACCAAAATGGTACATAACACACGACTTTGGTTCCAAAAATGCACGAAGCACATGATCCATATTCAATTGGCTCCAAAATGGCACACAACACACCACTTTGGTCTCATAATCGCATAAAGATCATGACACACACTCAAGTGCCACCAAAATGGTACATAACACACGACTTTGGTTCCAAAAATGCACGAAGCACATGATCCATATTCAATTGGCTCCAAAATGGCACACAACACACCACTTTGGTCTCATAATCGCATAAAGATCGTGACACACACTCAAGTGCCACCAAAATGGTACATAACACACGACTTTGGTTCCAAAAATGCACGAAGCACATGATCCATATTCAATTGGCTCCAAAATGGCACACAACACACCACTTTGGTCTCATAATCGCATAAAGATCGTGACACACACTCAAGTGCCACCAAAATGGTACATAACACACGACTTTGGTTCCAAAATTGAACGAAGCACATGATACATATTCAATCGGCACCAAAATGGTACATAACACACGACTTTGGTTCCAAAATTGAACGAAGCACATGATCCATATTCAATCGGCACCAAATTGGCACAAAACACGCAACTTTGGTTCCAAAACTCAAGTGCCACCAAAATCGTCCAAAACACACAACTATTAAAACAAAGCCATGAACCCCTAATTCCAATCCACCATAAGCCAAGCAAGTAAGCAAGAACAAATGACATGGATAATAAAACTATGATGAGCTGTTTCACATACACGAGACTTATTATTAATAGTTTCATGAAATGCTAAATTGCTACTATTTAATAAACGTCTTTACATCACATCCATATCCATTCACATAGTCAGACACAAATCCACAATCATAATTTTCATAAGTAAGATCAAATATCGGAGTGAATCAAGACTTGACTATCTACTTGAGTTGTCTCATGAATAGGGTAACCATCTAGTTTTCATGAAAATACAGGACATTTGGTAAATTTTTTCGAAAAAAACAGGACATAGAGTAAAATTCGAAAATTAACGGAAATTTTCATGAAAAAAATACAGGACCAGGAACAAAATTTAAAAATTTATACAGGACAGGGTTTTGAAATACAGGACTGTCCGTTGTAAAACTACGCAGATGGTCACCCTACTCATGAATTATTTAGGATGCTTGAAAATGAGACGGTGGAAATTTGTCAAGAAATTTAATATTTTTTAAATAATGGTTACTGATACTTGACTTGGGGGGTTAGGGATGTGTAGTGACAGAAAGTTTTGCTTGTAGAGGTAATTTAATGTCAATAGAAGTGTGAATTGCACTACTTTTGACAATTGTTTGACAGTTGATACAAAAGTATTCTGAATTCCATGATTATAGGAGCTACTAAGTCATTGGCTACTAAAATGGTGTAGATTTTACGACTTTTGTGGTTAGCGAACTAGTTTAAAGCAGTGTTGACCAACTCATGTGCCGCGGAACACTAGAGTCAAGAAAAAAGTTAAGAAATTACATGAACCGTATGACGTGCACGGTTTTGGTCATGGCTTAACACAAAAGTGTAAAAAGGTTGGACACCACTGGTTTAAAGTCAAATTTTAGTTATAGCAGTGTTTCTCAAACTTTGTTCCGCTGAGCTCAACTGCTCCATGAATCCTAGGTGTGTCAATAGTGGTAGTCTCGATGGCACGGTAACAGCATTTAGATGATTAACTGCTCCGAGGTTTAAAAGTCAGAGAACCACTGGACTAGATCATCCAATTTCCAATTCTAGTCATCCGAAAAACATTCACAATTCCTAATTAAACAAAAACTTAATTCAATATTATTTAAAACCGACAAAAAAAGAAGCCTTCGAAGGAAAATTCAATTTTCAATGAAAATTTCTAAATTATTCATTTTATGGTCCTTTCTAACCCTTTTTTCGTCTACAATCCACCCAACAACTCCCTTATCACATCTTCATTTATAGATTAAGATGGCGAAGATATCGTCATATTTTATCTATAAGTTATTACTATGTGTTAAATTAATTAAGGCAAAAAATTTCCATCATCCTTATTTAAAATCTTGCCTTGACTTCCCCCTTCCCCATCCACCATCTAGATTCTAGAAAGTCCTCATACCTTCACTTGCTGTCCCAACCCCCATTCAGCCTTTCATTATGTTAGCATCCTTATTATATTTTACTATTTCATTTTAATGTGTAAAATTCAAATAGTTTGACAGAATGGAAAAGAAAATGAGGATGGAAAAGAGGTTTTGGAAAATTATAGGCAAGAGGAATAATTATATTGGATATAGCGTGGATTTCTACATGCTATTATTCTTATTTGTCGTAATCGTGATCTGGAATTGGTCAAAAGTGGTTGACAATGCACGCTTCTTGTCACAACATAAAAGAATTGGTCGAAAGTGGTTGACATCACACGATTCTTAACACAACATTGAAGAATTGGTTGAATGTCGTTACCAGCACACGATTCTTGACACGATATATAAGAAATGGTCAAAAGTGGTGATCAGCACACGATTCTTAACACAACATTGAAGAATTAGTCAAAAGTGGTTACCAGCACACGATTCTTGACATGATATATTAGAAATGGTCAAAAGTGGTTACCAGCACACGCTTCTTGTCACAACATAGAAAAATTGGTCAAAAGTGGTTAACAGCACACGGTTATTGTCACAACATAGAAGAGTTGGTTGAAAGTGGTTGACAGCACACGATTCTTGACACAACATTGAAGAATTGGTCAAAAGTGGTGGACAGCACACGTTTCTTGACACACAATTTTAAAACTACCCAAAAATCATTTCTAAAGATCGAATCTAGTCCAATTAAAACCGCGCTAATTACCCAAACCACACAATGCATCTCTAAAATCCAAAACAAAATCATTTAAAAACTTTAGTAGAATGAGAAAGACAATGAAAATAGAGATTATACATTCACATAATTAGGATGGATTCAGATGTTGTGTCTTGTCATAGAATTTATGCTAAACAATCCTTGCCCCAACACTAACAACCATCCAGACACATATATGCAAGAAAATAATTATAATTTACCGAAAAAGCTATAAGACACGCACATTTAATGTCGTCTACGACAAGGCACATTTGGTCCTCTCTCTCTCTCTCTCTGTCTCTATCTCAAAATAATATAAAATCGACTCTGTAGGAAAGTTTAAAATGTTTCTGATAATTTTCATATTGAAACGGAACTGAGTTGAATTTTAAGGGGGATGTTGGCCATGGATGGATGTTAACCCCCCCTCGAGTGGTATGAGAACTTTCAATATTTTTCCCATCCACTCCAAGCCATCCTTTTAATTTACTATAATTCTTCATCCTCACTCATCCTCCCGTACACACACACAATTTTCTCCTTCATCATCCAAAATGAAATTTCAATGTAGATTGGACTGGATGCTGGGGAGTGTGAGTATAAGCTACACATAATAATATATACATTCACTTCTTACGAAACTAAACTATTATAGCAACAGCAGCATATCCAATCGTTTACTCTTAGCTGATACTGATGTTGCTACTCCTGCTTCTACTGTCCAAAATGAGATTCATTAAAATTTTCCTATAGTTTTCTACATCTTTTTTTGGTGTGCATGTAGTTGTAATGTGCTAAAAGATTTACATCATGATGTTCATGGCTATGATTAGGAGTTGGGTGGCTAGATCTTTGATGTATTCTGAGCTAATTATGTTTGAGGAAACGAAGCTAGTAAGCAAAATATTAGAAATTAAAAAAATATTTATAATTTTGAGGTTAGAAACCTGATTTTGAGGTTAAGTTAATCATATTTGAGATTAGAAACTAAGAAATACAAATAATTGGAGATTACTAACATAATTTTGAGGTTAAAAACCTGATTTTAGGTTAGGAAACTTAACTTTGAGGTTAGAAACCTAGTTTTGAGGTTAAGAACCTAGTTTTGAGGTTAAAAATTTAGTTTTGAGGTTAAAAACCTAGTTTTGAGGTTAAAAACCTATTTTTGAGGTTAAAAACCTAGTTTTGAGGTTAAAAACCTATTTTTGAGGTTAAAAACCTAAGTTTAAGGTTTGAAAGCTAGGTTTGAGGTTAGAAACCTAATTTTAAGGTTAGAAACTTAATATTGCAGTTAGAAACCTAGTATTGAGGTTAGAAACTTAGTTTTGAGGTTTGAAACCTAAATTTGAGGTTAAAATCTTAATTATGAGATAAGATATATAATTTTAAGGTTAGAAATTTAATATTGCGATTTGACCCAATTATTGAGGCTTAAACCTACTATGTTAGGTTAGATACATAATTAGGGTTATGTCGCCAAAAACTTCATCAAGAGATCTTACAAAGTTGTCTAATCAATTCAGCCTGCTCAAACTCAAATAATTTTCCTCTTTCTGTTTCTCGTCTAACAAAAACCAAATTAGGATGGTTATAAAAGCTCCTTCTATCATTCTTTTACACTAAATTCCTCTCCCCCCAAAACATTACACTCCCACCATCCTCATCCCCAAACTAATTTCACCTCATTCATGATAGATAAATTTTGAAAATTTCCATTCAAACATCCCATC